CACTTACCATCGTCAGGTAGACTGTAAGTTCGTTGGATATGTGGTGGCTCTATCGTCGCACCATAAGCGAAACACATCGAAGCCTAAATCACGCTATCAAAGTTCCGAAGCAAAAACAGTATATGTAGAATAGCTTCGAATTAATAACACAAAGTTCACCAATTTGCCACCAGAATCATCACAAGGGGTGACATCAGAACTTCCGTGAGGTAGGGGCTGAAGGAAACCATTTCGCACCAAAAGTTCTTGAGTTTTTCACATGGAATCAAACTAATTGCACTTATTTTTATTAGTATTAGTATTTTTGAAAAATATCCTAAAATTAAAACCCTGCAAACTTTTGCCAAGAAACTATTTCACGGGCTTCGCTTTTATTACTCCACTATTTTTCACGGGTGTTCACGGCTCGAATGTAGAGCGTCTTTTACAGTTCTTTGACTAGGTTTAAATTAAATTTATCTATAGAATTCCAAATATACTAATAGTTACCTATACTTAGTAGTAGTAAGATATAAATAAAAACTACATAATATTCAAAAAGTTTATATATTATACGAAATATACTTTTTAATATACATAGTTTCATAAACAATTGGTCAATGTTGAAATTTTAGTCAAAAATTTTTACGTCAAAAACTAAATTATAAAAATAGTTAAATTATTGTAAAGTAAAAAAAACATAAAAATTGAACAAGTTAAAGAAGTATAAGCTACCGTAAGTGTTGCATTTTCATAGGGCGTCATAACTTTTAACCAGTTTTAAATAAATTACAATATAATCTGGAGGCACGGTAGTGTCTCCGCAAAACGAACCAACCAAACCAAAACGAAGCACTATCTAGGTAGACATAGATCCTTTTCTCGATGAGCGTCGTCGTTTTCTTGAACCCTAATAATTTTGGGTTTGGATAATAGGTGATAAACAAAATTCTCGGGATATGATGTCAATAGTGGACTTGTTAAACGCTTAAAGTTTCAATTGTATAGCTCTTGTAATTTAGATTTTCTTGACATGTAAAAAACCCCGATTTTGTCCCTTACTCACTCATGATCATCAAAATTCTTAGGGTACTTCCTGAAGTCCTATAAAATGAAATTTGGTATGTTAGCTAGTATTAGTACACAAATAACAAAAAAATTCTAAAACTTGGAACTTTTAGTCTCCAACCCCTAATACTAGGGGATGGAAGTTTGCATGAGACTTCCGCAAATTTTGTTGCTATAGGTCTGAAAATTGATATAGAGACTCTTTGTTACTCATTATTATAAACAATAATAATAAAATACATATTTCAGGATTTTTTGTAAATCGCCCCACCCCCCATCCCCCACGCTTTTAAATTAGGGGATGGAAATTTGTATGGATTTCCCATAAGTTAATTTCATGCTAGATATCTGAAAATTATACAAGTACACAGACTTCTTATTAAAAATTAGAAATTATAAATATTGACTTTAGTAGTATTAAAGCACAGCAGTCAGCTATAGTCAAATATAAACTCCTAAGAGCTAAGTATCGCCCTGATCTATCGGTTATTATAAACAGTAAACTAACAAAGATAAAAGGCAAAGATGGAGAATGGGCTATAAAAACAAGGCACCTCTGATGTGCAAGAAATACACCCCGAAAAAGAAAATATTTTCATGTAAAATGTTGCTAAGACGAGACCATATGGCTTGCACCGTCAAAAAGTTATCAGATCTCATGTAGAGCCAAGCTTCTAACTCTACAAGCCGTATACCTTAGTCAACAAAATATGTGGCGTTTCGCTACCATCACTTGAGCGTAATGGGCGTTCTACAGCATCGGCAGCCAGTAGTAATGAGACGGCCAAGCCACATATTTTGACTAAGGTGTACAGTTTGCGGAGGTAGAGTTAAAAGTTTGGTTAAAAGCTCTACATGAGACCTGATAACTTTTTAACTGTGCGAGCCATATGGTCTTCTCGTCTTGGCATCATTTACATGAAAATGTTTTTGTGGGATTATAATACCATTTCTTAAGACATTTAATTTAAGGTATTTTCTTTTTGATGGGCAGTGGTCATTTAAATATTTTAAATATTATCCGCAACGACTATTTCCGTATAATCAGAAGCGATCAACTGCGCAGGGGATATTATAATGCCACAATGTACGCGCGATTACAGAGACACTCACTACTAAGTCCAAACCTTACCTTACCCGTGGCGTTGGCACATGAAATAAGATAGGAGGTAGGGAGGATAATCTAGTCTATACTTTATTTTTCTCGTGGATGTCTCAGAAAGCGAACAATATAGGAAATACCTGTAAAATCTTATAGCTTTCGATAAAAACACTTTAAGACTCGCAGACTCCTGTAGACCAGACTCCTGTCCTCAAAATTTCTGTTTACTTCATCATACATCCTGTCCCTAAATACACGAGCTGATTACGGGCAGCAGAGTCAAAAGTGCGAGAGAGATGCCTACTCAATCCAGCTGCCAAGTGCAAATTATCCCTACAACGGGAGACACCTATATCCTTTACTATAATAATATTATATGTCTTACATAAATATAATTTTACGACGATATACCAAATAAACCATTATAATATGAAATATTTACAGGTAAACATCATAATAAATTTAGTTGAAAAATATGTCTGTATTACCACGAGGCTATGAGTGCTTCAAGCCATCCCCAAGATACGGATGTGTGCGGGGTGAATACAGTGTGTATCACAAGAGACCGAGATGTGGTCAGCCCCGACCACAGCCATTCCAAAGAGAGGTAGCCCCATATTGCGGTGGACCGAGTCGAGTTCCGCGTGAAAGGTACTTAATTAGATCGTAAAGTGTTAGCTGTTACAACCCAATTTTTATGATTATTTCCAAACAAAACGTCCACTATTGTAATCGATTTGTTTTCTCATTTATTGTTATACCGTGTAGTAACGTTGCAAGAATGTTATAAATAACAAGAATAAAATAAATAAAAAGGGTTTTTTAAACTGTTATCCTGACTAAGTTTAATTATTAACATAGACAATAGAGGACTATAGAAGTATTATGCTTCAAAATGTTAATTGTATGATAGTAAGCATGTCACACCTATGCCAGTAGTTGTTGCGAGCACTACGCTCGACGTTGTCGACAAGTATTCCTAGGACAAATCGAAAAAAAACTAAAGTAAGTCCAATTTCGACCGAGACTGTTCATTACGACACATCTTCTCGTCAGGTATAACCTTCTCAACCTCAAAACCTGTGATAACTTATGGATCTGAGACGTAGTCCTTCACTGCTGGCCGTAGCTCAAGGTTACTTAGCAAGCTATGGAAAGGGCAATGTTCAGGGCTTCTCTGCAGTAGAACCAGTGTAACTGATATAGCCCAATAAGCTGAAGTTCTACAATGGGCTGGCCATGTAGACCGAATAACCAACAACTGATGGGGAAGAAAGGTTCTCGCGTGGCAGCCAGGAAGTATAGGACGGCCTACCACTAGGTGCAGTGACGACCTGGTAAGACATGAAGGAGCTCGATGGTTGCAGGTGGCTAAGGACCGTGCTTTGTGGCATTCCTCGGGGAGGCCTATGTTAAGCAGTTGATCTATGAAGGGCTGTAATGATTAAGATGATGACGATGATAGTAATAGCAAAAATCATGTAAATCTACGATTCTCACTTATCTTTTCATACTGAAACAAAAGTCAAATTCCGTTTATATATTATGCAGAATTTGACGAATATATATATATATAGTTAAGCGTCTAAATGGATTCAGAACTGGTTTCTGTTTCCACACGAGCCCAATCGCGGGCAAATTGTGTAAAATAAGAATTATTCGCGGTAGCTATACAATCTGTGTAAACTCATTTTATTTATTCGTTCGAAATGAAATAAAACTGGCACAATATACAGTTTTTTTACGATATTATTAAACCCCAATTTGAACGTCTGATGTTTTTTAAGCTAATATGTGTACTAATGTTAATATATGAATAGGTAGCTCCTAGATAAAATTTATATTGCTCTGAAGTTGCATGACCTTATTTTAACATCTTGACCTGGCAGTTTGAAATAGTTTATAGACAATTTGTGATCTCGATTCGAGTTTGATATAACATGCTACCCACATATTAATTGAAAATAGGAAGAAAGTAGGCAAGCAACATTAACATCATTTTCTTTATTTCAGACCATGTTGTTATGATTTTCCTTGTAAAGCGGATTGCTTTAATCACGGTGCGTGCACGAGGCCCAGTGGCAGATACGCCCGTACTGTTTGGTACCCTGGTGAATGTTGTCCGGCGGTTCCCCCGTGCCAAGCATTTACATGCCCAAGCCCGCCATATCATCCCTGCTGCAGCCACACCTGTAATAAGCTTGTTTAAAAACCCTTAAAAGACAAAAAATTACATAAGTTTTTACTCGTAAATTTTTTGCACTTTCGTTTTGTAATATCTTAGTTTTGTACGATAATGTTGACTATTATAAAACATTTTAATTTAATTAAATGGACATTAATTGTTTGAAAATTGGTCGTAAAACGTTTATTTGTGTTATAATTTGTAGTGAAAGAAACCAAACTAGAAACCAAACATTTGAAAACGGTTTGTAAATAAAATATTTTTACTGTTCAATTAAATGTAAATAACTTATGAATTAGGATCTATTGTTTGATTTAAATTTTTTAAATAAGCCGAATATGTTTTCCATTAAATAAAGCATAGTTCAACCTTCAAATCACCTATATAGCGTAAGCTTTGTACATAATGTACTGTACTGTGATTCTACATAAACAGACTTATTCTGGCAAGTGTATAAAATGCCGCCTACGCACTTCAGTAACGCTTGTCTTCCCGCGAGTAGATTTGCGTGCTTTTTCTGACCAGTTGGCTTTGTGCAGTCATACACGCGCCAATGTTGTGACCCCTCTCGGCGTAGTGTGTTGTGGCGCCCCAAATTTTTTTTTACTTCGATCGCTTTGCACAGCAATAGCAAACGATTTTTCAACCACAGATGTTTGTCTCAAGATGTATATTTTATGGGCATTTCTATTCGTGACATTATTTGGTGAGTCCTTTTGTGTTGCCGTTTTTATATTTTTATGATAAATTGTGTTTTGACAGATAAAATAGAAATAAATGTGTACTCGTTTATACGTAATTATTTTATCATTATCATTATTACAGCTTTTCAAAAGTCCAGTTCCTCATTTGCAATAGTAGCCATGCTTGGCACACGAGTTGGCGATCGCAGTTTTTATTGTTTTTAGAAAGAATCTGCGGCTCATCTCACATTTTTGGGGTAGTGGATATGCTTACACCGCCACTGCACTATGTTAACGTAATTATTTCACATTAAACCAAAAGGAGGCAACGCACTAGATACTTTAGATTTACTTTCTTTGTACAAACATTAGCACTATTTAGTGTGTAAACAACCTTAATTTTTAGCCGACTTCAAAAAAGGAGGGAGACCTCAATTCACTTCACACTCAAGACACTAGAAAAGGACAACTATAGAGATATTAAATAATTATTTTAGTAAGTGATAATCAACAATTATCAGGAAAATCAATTCTTTATATTTTTCAATAACCAGAAAATTCATGACCAGGGGGTCTTTGTAAGGGAAGCATGATAAGAAGAACTCAAACTGTAAACTGTGATCTACTTAACCCTTTTGAATAACAGTTTCATTTAAAATTTCATTTTGAATAATTAGTAATATCTATCTTTTTGACACTGGTCTAACCGGGTTATTTGCGTGCTCAGTTGCTCACGAATACATCACACAAATAGACAAAAGTTACAAAAATTGTTTTATTGGCTAGTACTCAATGTAAATTGCATATTCTTGAAATAATTAAAGACGAAACAATCTCTAAAGTAAAGTTCGGCGTAGTGGCGTAACGGTTAGCTGAGACTCTGCGGGCCATGTGTTCGAAACCTGAACGGAACATGTATTTGCATAGCCTACTTTTAAGTGTTCCCGATCTGGATGTTTGTCCATGTGCAATTTATGTATAACTAACATATCACAGTGCGGAACATGTAATCGCAAACACAGAGGCTTTCACACGTCCTTTAAGAGGATACCTTTTTTTTTTTTTTTTTTTTTTTTTTTTTTGCGGATGGAAAATCATCTAATGACCCCTTTCGCTCTGGGTGGAGCGTAAGGGAGTGTCAGACTTTTACTGACTAAAAACCATCCGTGTTCCTTCAGTGCCCTTACGTTCCGGAGCCGCGGTATCTCTTTCGAATAGCCCGCAGCCCCGGCAGGCGTCGGCCCTTGCGGGCCCCATCACGCTGCTGACAGCTCTTTGAGGCGCGCGTGGAACAAAACGCGCCGTCGACACGGCCTGTCGTCGTTAGACGGACGGACGACGAGCTACCCATTGCTCGCCGTCCACAGGCCCGCGCCTACGGTGGCCGGGGGCCACGACGTAGCCCCCGACGCCCGGGGCGTCTCCCGCGGCGGCCTGGGAGGAAAGCTGCTGCTCTTTCCTTCTCCCGCTCCGCCACCTCCTTCGCTAGCATCACTGCTTCGCAGAAGGTGGTGACGGCATCCCATTCCGTCTCGCTCCGGACCATGGCTTCGACCAGGGCCGGACGCGAGAGGTCGCCGCCGCCTATCGCCGCTACGAGGACACGGCGGTGCTCCGCCCAAGCAGGGCACACCTCCACGGTGTGTTCCACCGTGTCCTCCGGTCCATCCTCGCAGTGGGAGCACCCGGGCGTTTCCTCCCGCCCGATTCGGTGCAGGAACCTCCCGAACACACCGTGTCCGGTGAGGACCTGAGTCAGGCGGAAGGTGAGGATGCCGTGGCGTCTCTCAAGCCACTCCTCAAAGAGGGGTCTTATCGCCGCTATAGTGGCGTGCCCAGCACGGGGTTGCGACAGTCGCTCTCTCCATGTCGCCATGAGATCGTGCCGGAAGACTGTCCGCTGCGCGACAACTTGCCGCGGCAGCGGGGTTTCCCCCCGGCATAGTGCCTCCGCGCGCCATTCGTGCAGGCGTGCGAGGACTACCGCCTCCAGATCCCATGGCGGCAATCCGGCAAGGAGGCTCGCCGCCTCGCGGGAGATCGTGCGGTAGCCGCGAACCATTTTAACGGCGACCACCCTTTGGGGCGCGTTCAGGTGGTGGACGGCAAGCCGCGCCAAACCATGCGCCCACACCGGGGCCCCGTAAAGGGCCATTAAGAGGATACCTGGAATATGAATCGTAGTTTTTGGCTTGTGGCTTATTCCTTTGTTACTGAAGTTCACGGAAGCGTGAGGGAGTGACAAAATAAAGGTGATGCAATGACTTCATAATACTCAAATTATGAGAAAGCTATACCGAGCACACGCTCGGAAAAAACTAAGTAAGCGTCAAACAACATTTTTATTTTTTTTATCAAAACTTCGTAATGGATTAAAAAACTGGTTTATGAGAACTTAGATGTGATTATTTACTATGCCTTAAAAATAATTCCGTGAATTTATTCGTAAAAACATTTTTTTTATAGGTTAGGGTGACAAACGAGCACACAGTCCACCTGATGGTAAGTGGTTGCTGTGGCCCATAGACATCTACATCTATCCTCGATTATAAATGCAGATGCGTTGTCACCCGTGAGGACTAAGATGGAATACCTCGTTTCCAGTAAAAAGGATGTCCGGTAACATTGTATTGTTTTGGAGAAATGTAACTAAAAAGAGCCTACTTTTCAATTTTTTTTTTGTCGAGAAAATTACATGATATCGTGTTTTCCTTTTATGCAATCCAAGGTCATATAGTCAAAAATTTTATATACCAAAATTTTGGTTCGTAATCCACAAAATTTAAAAATATGTGAAATAGAAAAAACACCAATTTTTCGAGGTGTCACCTTAAAATATCGATTTTTTTATCCTTCTCCATCATGGACTAGCAGTGGAGTGTGTGTGTGTGTGTGTGTCTAACACCAATGTAAAATCTCAACCTATGTATGTATCTAACACTAAAGTAAGAGTGGTATAATATGGCCCTCTCCTACCATAGGGAGGTTTCCTTAATCATTACGCGTAACAGGCGGATTAATAATCGAAGTACCAGACTGGAATTCTTTTCCCACCTCTTTTCCGGAGCTCCCCAGTGCCAACCCCTTCTATTTGGTCGCATTCTGCGCAGAGCGGTTCGAATCGTCAGCGACCGAGTTCTTTCCGGTCGGCTTGACTCACTGGCGCTGCGAAGAGATGTTGTTTCTCTTCGCGTATTTTATGGTATCTACCAAGGAAAGGGCTCAGAAAAATTGTTCAGACTAATTCTAGCCGCTCAATTTCACCATCGCACATCGTGACTAAGCTCGAGTTACCATTCATACTGTGACGGCCCAATATTATTATTAGTAATTAAATTCAATATAAAAAGGCATCAAAAATAGTCTTAAAATATATATATTAAGCAAAAAATTACATTAATAAGCATAAAGTTAATATAAATACATTTTAGATATTAGACCAATAACATAGTAAATTAAAGGCAAAATATTGTCTTTCATAATAAATAAATTTATTTAAAAACTTGTAAAAATATTTAAAATATGATAAATAATAGAAATACAAGTCGAAAATATTATAAAAATAAAGATAAATAACATTTATAAGATAATTAGAAAATTTCTTAAAAATTGTCTAAGTTGTTGAAGGTGGTATAGATGTATTGTATGGAGGAGCTGCCGGAGATACATACCTGCAATTGTACATATATATATATGGGGTGGTCGGGAGCCCGACTGCTTGAAGTACTGTAGCAGAATGACTAGTCCTATATTAGGGACTTATGATAATAAACTCAATGATACAAAAGCAATACTATAGAAGGTCTCTATGATGAATTTGCATTACAACAGTGGGGTCGTGGGTTGAAGTCCTATATATTAATGACTTATGAAAGTAAGGTCTATGATACAAAAGCAATACTATAGAAGGTCTCTATGATGAATTTGCATTACAATAGTAGGGTCGTGGGTTCGAATCCTATATATGAATGACTTATGAAAGTAAGGTCTATGATACAAAAGCAATACTATAGAAGGTCTCTATGATGAATTTGTATTACAATAGTAAAATTGTGGGTTGAAGTCCTACACATTAATGACTTATGAAAGTAAGGTCTTTGATACAAAATCATTATTATATGTAGAAGGTCTCCTTAATGCATAAGCATTGTATGGGGTGGTCAGGTGACCGACTGCTCTTAGTACTGTAGCAAAATGACTAGTCCTTATTAGGGACTTGAAAAAGGATTATTATGGTGGCGTGTATGCTGCTTCACGAGCAATTGGTCCGAGGTAAACTTGGGCTCGCTAACCGATGTGTCCTACACATATCATCTTAGTGACGGTGGTAAGCGGGTTTATTGCAGCAATACGGCTTTCCCGTGGACGTCGCTTAGTGCATTAGCTCTATGATACGTGAAGTTTTGTCCACTGGCGTCTTAGTAGCGTGCTACTATGATACGTTGGTGCAGTTTTTAGTTAACAACATATTAGTGCCGTTGGTAAGCGGGTTTGTTGTAGCAATACGGCTTTCCCGTGGACATCGCACACGCATACCGTTTGTGGGCGACGTCGTATCGCATAGCGATACGTCGTCTATCTTTCGGATTGGGATGATGAGTGTGTTTGGTAACACTTTTAAGTGTAACCAGCATACTAAACTTCATGTCTTAGTGTTTACAGATATCATATCGTACTCTCTATTACCCGAAGATGTTACCTACGCAATAACGAACAATCGATTAAAATATTATTTTTAAATTTATAAATGACTGCTTTATGAGTTCAATGCGAATAACAAATAAATATATACATATTAAATCCCTGATGGATTCCATCGTATTGGATAAAAATTATCAAATATTTTTTTATTTTCATATTATACAGTGTAAATTCAAATATCTTAATACTTATTTTACATTAAAACTGTAAAAGAAATATTAAACGATAACTGGTCCCCCTAAGCGATAAATAATACAAATAATTTAAATTACAACATGACGCAGTACTATTAAGATTATGCTGCTTAGTGAGTAAGTACTTGAGAGAATAACATATGAGTATGTTGTAATGAATATGAATATTAGTGTTATTTTAAACCAATGATATCATTTCTGTATCTCAGTGTATAATGTCATAATATACTACGTCTCAGAAATCCTTTGTACGATTATTGCCTATGCAATGGAAATCGGCAAATTGGAATTCAATAACACATCATAAATTATGGCTCACACTCACCACTTATGTTGTAACAAGCTTCATTTACACACGAATGTATTTTATATTGATATCCAATAATAATAACAAACTATATGATAACGTTTCCCTATCGCGTTCTTCTTTCCCCTAAGTAAGTCAATGGAAAATCGAATTATTTCATGTGATGTTGTAAGATTATTATCAAATCTGCAATTGAAAAGCCGTAGTAGGTCAGGGGCTAAATGCTCGCCGTAAATTTCATAATACGCTAGCAACTTGAGTTCGAACTCCGTCAGCAAACAAACAACACATATTTTTTTAAACTAAACGCTTTTCTTTTTATTACCCGACACTATTCCGATTATATCCCGGACGTCAGTCTGAGCGAGATTAGAATGGTTCTCCAGCACCTTAAAAACGGCAGGGCCCCAGGCGAGGATGGAATTACAGCGGAGCTTCTGAAAGCCGGTGGAACACCGGTACTTGAAGTCCTTCAGAAGCTCTTCAATTCCGTCCTCTATGGTGGCACTACTCCAGAGGCGTGGAGCAGAAGTGCGGTGGTCTTGTTCTTTAAGAAAGGCGTCAACGCTCTCTTGAAGAACTACAGACCGATTTCCCTTCTGAGCCGCGTCTACGTGCTGTTTTCGAGAGTCATTACGAATCGTCTCGCACGCAGACTCGACGACTTCCAGCCTCCCGAACAAGCCGGTTTCCGGAAAAGGCTTCAGTACCATAGACCACATACATACCCTGCGGCAGATTGTACAGAAGACCGAAGAGTACAATCTGCCACTTTGCCTGGCGTATGTGGACTATAAGAAAGCCTTTGATTCCGTCGAAATTTGGGCGGTGCTACAGTCCCTTCAGCGGTGCCAAGTTGACTGTCGGTTTATCGAAGTGCTGAAGTGTTTGTACAGTAGGGCTACGATGGCTATCCGAGTACGGAACCAGAGTTCGAAACTGATCCAACTGCATAGAGGTGTAAGACAGGGTGACGTTATATCCCCGAAACTCTTCACCGCTGCGTTGGAAGACGTTTTCAAGCTACTGGACTGGAAAGGATACGGTATTAACATCAATGGCGAGTACATCACTCACCTTCGATTTGCCGACGATATAATCCTTATGGCAGAATCGCTGGAGGACCTTAGCACTATGCTCAATGACCTCAATGGTGTCTCCCAACGGATAGTTCTTAAGATGAACAACGACAAAACAAAGATCATGTTTAATGTACCTATGTCGGTAGTTGTTGGTTACTATGCTCGAAGTTGTTGACGAGTACGTTTACCTGGGACAAATAGTCCGACTAGGTAAGTCCAACTTCAACCGAGAGGTCAATCGACGGATTCAACTCGTCTGAGCAGCGTTCGGGAAATTACGACACATCTTCTAGTCAGGTATATCTCAATCTCTGAAAACTAAAGTGTACAACCAGTGCGTGTTGCCAGTGATGACTTACGGATCTGAGACGTGGCCCTTCACTGCTGGCCATATGAGGACGCTCAAGGTCGCTCAGCGAGCTATGGAGAGGGCTATTTTCGGAGTTTCTCTGCGTGATAGACTCAAAAATGAGGATATCCGCAGTAAAACCAGAGTGACCGACATAGCCCAACGGATTAGTAAGCTGAAGTGGCAATGGGCCGGCCATATAGCTCGAAGAACCGATAACCGATGGGGAAGAAAGGTTCTCGAGTGGCAGGCTCGTACCGGTAGGCGTAGTTGAGGGCGACCCCCACTAGATGGAGTGACAACCTGGTAAGACATGCAGGAAGTCGATGGATGCAGGTGGCTCAGGACCGTGCTTTGTGGCATTACTTGGGGGAGGCCTATGTTCAGCAGTGGACTTGTGAAGGGCTGTAATAATGATGATGATAATGAAACGATTTTAATAACTGTAATCTTTACAGACAAGTAAAATTACAGTAAAATCTGTAATCTTTACATATTCATATCTTACGACACCCGCGAGAAAAAATAAGGTAATAGATTCGCACGGCAAAATATCTTTATTAAATTGTATATTAAGCCTTTACGGAGGAAAGCATGAAAATACCATGCGGGTTGCAATTTGTATGATATAAGTATGACAAACGAGCACACAGGGTACCTAATGGTATTTCGTTGCTGACACCCACATATACATCTGGCCACATATCCCTAAGAACTAATAAAATTAACGATGAAATATCTCATTACCAGTAAAAGTTCTCTCTTTCTCATTACCAAGTCTCCGGTTCTTGGCTCGTTATTATCAATTTTACGCTGATGTCCTGTGGTAACGTGCTTCTTTAGCATTCACTGCAGCGTGACTCTATCATGTAAATATTCTACTACAGAGTCTATTAATGAATCATAAACTTATGCGTGTATTCAACTAATATGTTTAACAGTTTAAAATATCTAATAGTAAGCCTGTTTAGGCCATTATATTATTTTAAATTTTTTTTATGGAATAATGGTTGTATATCACCAAGATAGAGGCCCATAAATGGTTCCCCTCTTCATTAGTGGTAGAAATTTGCCATAGGAGATCAGACGTCCGTACACATCTTTTGACGCTGCACCTCGGACTGTAGGAGTATTTCAAATATGCGTCGTCGTAGGAGTGGTAATTCTACGGTCTATCAAGAGCAGACCGTGAGATTTTTAAGCATTTCATATAATGGACTCTTATAAGACTAGGATGAACGTATTTGCCACACCACTCTAATGAAAGAAAATGAGAGTAAGAGATCACCACTATTGCGATATGCAATAACGGTGGTTTATAATATTTTAATTCTTTACCGTATCGTATTTAGTAGTACTCATTACATTTTATTGTTGCAGGAAATCTCGGAGCTCGTCTAACAAATACTGACAAAAACAGGTTGGTGGATGACGCATAGTTTCTATCATACAGAAATACTTTAATAAGTATCTCTATATACTGGCGATAGACCTAGCTTTGATTACGACGCTAGACTCTTAGTTTGGCACAGGCATTTGCGTATGTGGGCAAAAGTTGAACACACATTTGCAATTTAAAATCCATTGTTGTATATATATATATATATATATATATATATATATATATATATAGATACATAGATATATTATCGAATTTCACGAGTATTTAAAAATATCGTACGATATGCATATTAAATTCGAAAGTTTATTTTTTATTTAATTATTTACACACATCCGACTTTAAACTCACGTCTGATATGTTCTACACGTTGGCCAACATAGTGGCGAATTTAGTGGCGAAGATATTGGCCAAGAGTTTGTGATGGCGTCCACATTTAGGAAAGTCGTTCAGTTTACGCTGGTTCATGCCAATGTGCGGATGAATTTATGAAAATGGATATTAAAGCGTTAACAGCTGCTGCGGTTTATTTATTCGCAGCATATCGCTACTACGTGCATGTGTATAAGGAATTATTATTTTCATTTATTTTTATTACAATTTTTATTTTGTAATTTTTATTTTTTGGATTCTACGAACAATTTTTGGCCTGGTAGAGCTCTCTAAGGCGAAAAGTTTCTTTATTGGTCATTGTTACTGCGATTTTGTAGACACTAGTGAAGATGGCCGCTAATACCAGTCACGCCGCTAATTCCAGCATTTTCGCCTTTTTACTTCGTAAATAAGGTTTCTAGTAGTTTTCACTAGAAATATTGTCAGCTAAAAAATTCTTCGTAACTGGAGGAAAGCATATTTCAAATATCACACAGTTTTAAACCTAATAGTTTTAAATTAAAAATCAAAACACGTAGGCAACGGAAAACGCTCATTTTCCTATTTTTTTGACAAGCTTATTTTACATTAGCTCATCTGTAGGCTTTTTGATTCGCATGAATATGACTATAGATATAGTAATGCAGTCGTTTTTCTTTAAATTTACAAGTTTTTTATTTTATTTTAGTGGATATTAATGGGGCTGTAAATAGATATACGAAATTTTTGAAGTGCATAATGTCAGCCGCCACGCTATTTGCTTTTACGTACCTAATAAGAAGTACTTTGTATCAGCCATGTAATATAAATCAGGGCTGCCATAAACGGGAATTTTATTTATTTATTTAGTTTTATTTATCCCTTACATGAATCATAAACTGGAATAAATATTATTAATTGGAACTTAACTTATTTTAAATTTAAAGGAGCTATAATCGATTAGCCTATGTTTTGAAATTGGTTTTTGATTTTAAAGTTTAGCAAAAGATGTACTAGCTTTTCTATCAGACATGCGATGTATATAAAGAACACCTTATAATTTATTTTTAATTATTTTTTTCAGAAAGACAAAAACAAGCAATAAATATAATTAACTCTGACTTAGTAATACTAATTATAACTTAGAATATAAATGAAAAACTCATGACAAGGAAAGTGGGCTCGTCAGGACCACGCTTTGCGGCAGGCGGTGTGGGAGGATGTTCAGTAGTGAACTTGTAAAGGGCTGTATGATTATTATTCGAAAACTTGCACGATTAAATTATAAGAAATCGATGTACATATACATACATAAACACTCACGCCTGTCACCCAGAGGGGTAGGCAGAGACTACAGACTTCCATTTGGCACGATCCTGACACACCTCTCTCGCCTCCTTCACATCCATACACCTCCGCATACATGCTCGTCGGTTAAGGGTACTCCTAATTTGGCCCGTTTTCAATAAATCGCCAATTTGGTCAATAAATTTTCGCCTAGGACGTCCCTTTCCGACTCTGCCATTCACTTCTGCAACATAAATTTTCTTTGTCACTCTTTCCTCATTCATTCTTTCCACATGACCAAACCACCGAAGCATTCCTTTCTTAATCCTGGTCACAACATCATCTTGCAAACCACACTCTTCTCTTATTACACAATTTCTTACCCTGTCATTAAGATTCAGCCCTAACATACTCCTTAACGACCGCATTTCTACTGCGTTCATTCTACTCTCGTGCTTCTTCTGCCACACCCAACTTTCACTACCATATGTTAAAGTAGGGACCAACACAGCATTGTGAATTGCCATACGTGCCTTTTTCGACACATTTTGACTCTTCACAATAGAGTGCAGGGCCCCATTTACTCTATTTCCCGCATTCACTCGTCGTTCTATATCCTTATCATATCTCCCATCCCTGCTAAATACGCAGCCCAAATATACAAACTCATCTACTTGCTCGATCAACTCCCCTTCTATTCTTATTTCACAAATCGTTTTACTTTCTTCTCTTTCAAAAACCATAACCTTCGTCTTACTTGCGTTCACTTTCATACCCCTTTCTTTTAATGATCTGTTCATTAATGTAACCATCATTTGCAACTCGGCCGCCGACGACGCAAGTATAACTTGATCATCGGCGTACAAAAGGCATTTGACGGTTAACTCACCCATTCTTAATCCGCATTCTTCAACTTTCAAATTTTGCAAACAACTGTCCATAAATAGGTTGAACAGCCACGGGGAAGCTACACAGCCCTGTCTGACACCTTTATGGATGTCAAACCAGTCCGAGTAGACCCCGTTGATCCTAACACAAGCACTAGAGTCCCTATAAAGGGACTCCAATGCCCGTATCAAGCCAGCGCTCAACCCAAATGAGTTCAGTGTTTGCCATAGCACATCCCTATTCACTCTGTCATAGGCCTTTTCCAAGTCCATGAACGCACAAAAAACCTTTTGGTTTTTGGCCAAAAACTTCTCCGCGATCATGCGCATGGAAAAGACTTGATCTGTACATCCCATTCCCTTTCTAAATCCTGCTTGCACATCCCAAATTTTTCCATCAGTTTCTTTCATGACCCTTTCAATCAGTACCTTAGCATACAGTTTTCCCACAATGCTAAGAAGGCTGATGCCACGGTAGTTTTTACAGTCCTGCTGCGACCCTTTTCCCTTATATACTGGGACTATCACGGCTTTGCACCAGTCTACCGGTACCCGCTTCAGTTCCCAGCATAAATTAAACAAGGTGTGCAGCAGGCCTGCCACCACTTCCTCTCCAGCCCTTAGCATTTCGAGTGAAACTCTATCATATCCGGCAGCCTTACCTGCTTTCATGCTTTTCATTGCTTTCATTATTTCACCTACACTAATCTCGCTACCTCTTTCCTCTTCTTTCGGAATTTCTACTTCACTTAGTACACACGTTGTCTCCTCACTCATAAACACACTTTCAAAATATTCCTTCCATCTCTTTAAACTCAAAACTTCATCATTCAGAATATAGCCATTCTCGTCTCTTATAGCATTCATCATAGGCTGTTTTGAATGTCCCCTGGCAGTTCTTACAAGTTTCCAGAACATTTTAATATTTGCCTGGAAATTATCCGATATTCTTCTATCATTCTTATCCGTTCTTTCTTGCTTTTTTCTTTCAACTACTTCTTTTACTCTCTTATTAAGATGTCTAAAGACTGCCTTTTTTCTTTCAATATCATCATTCGTACCGCTAGAATTACCAGCCTTTGTTGCTAGTAAATCTAGCCATGCTCTCTTCTTTGCTTCAACTTCCATACGTACCTCATCATCCCACCATAACGTATTATTTTTCCTTTCATTCTTTCTCTTACTAACACCACATACTTCGGTAGCTGCATCCACTAAACCTTTCTTTACATTTTGCCATACATTCTCCAAGTCTAACTCCTTCATACATAATTCATCCAAACCACTTATATTTTCTTTCAGTCTACATTTGAACTTCTTTTTCTCACCTTCATCTTGTAACCTTTCTGTTCTAATACGCTGTAACGCAGTGGTAGACACAGATGACCGATGGCGCCAACGCCTGAATAGACCATTAATTCGGCATAGAACCAAATAATGATCCGTTCCTACGTTAGAACCCCGGTAAACCCTTGTATCTACAACTGCGCCCCTCAATCTTTCATCCACAATTATTAAATCTATCATGCTTCTATCGTCACCTCTTTCCCAAGTATACATGTGAATCCTCTTGTGGCGAAAGCAAGTGTTCGTCACAAAAAGATTCTTTTCCATACATACGGTGAGGAGACTTTCACCATTCTCATTTATACTTTCATCACCAAACGTTCCCAATATCCTTTCATAACCAAGCCTCCTCACCCCAACCCTTCCATTAAAATCTCCTAGCATAATAATATTTTCATTTCCCTTACACTCCATTAACACCATCCTTACCATTTCCCAAAACTGCTCTCGGATATAAGTGGGCTTAGACATGTCTGGGGCGTAGACCCCTAACACAAACAACTTTTTTAAGCCCACTTTCATTCGTATCCACAGCAGTCTTGGGCTTACACATTCATACTCTTTCATACATTGGCCCATTCTTTCTGAAAGGATGATACCTACTCCCTGGCATGCCCGCTCGATCTCGTCTACACCAGACCAGTATGCGGTATACATGCCATGTGTAGTGACATCCTTTCCCTTCCTTTTCGTCTCATTTACACATAACACATCTATTCCTCTATCATTCATCATATCGCATACTTCATCCATTTTATCATTCATTGCCCCACATACATTCAACGTAGCCAGACGGACCTCTGCAATCCACTTTTCGCCTCTCCGGGAGACAGAACGTGACGGGTGGCGAACCTCGTCGCCGGTTTTCCTCCCGAAATCGATGTGTTTCCTGTTTTTATACTTTGCTTTAATTAATTGTTTAGTTTTCAAAGAAAGATGAACTGCTTAAAACTAAAACTCAGTTAGATAAGTAGTAAAACGTTAAAATAAAATAATTATTGTCGTCAGCATTAATACGTATTTCATGCTTGTGACATGCATGATTCAAAATTAAAAGTTGTTACGTGTTTATTAATTAGCCCCTAAATCTTTCCAACAATGGTTGCACCTACCAAAAACATATAAGGCCCTATGCTATACTGGCATTAG